CTGGAAATTTGTTTCTCGGATGACAGCTGTGACTAAAACCAGAGTTCCTGCAGCAGACTAATTTCAGGAAAATTTCCCCTTATTACTACATAACTAGAGGTCGCAGAAGTAACTCAGCGGGAGAACGGCGAGATGAGCATCAATAGACCCGCGTTCCCCCCACCCACAAATATCCAGCTAAGGTGTTCGGGCATAGTGCTGCATGCACCGCCTGGCGAAGTTCAGTGGACTTCACCCAAGTGCTTGAGACGCGAGAGGAAAAATCCGCCTCCTGGGAGCCGGGTTGAAGCGCAGAACAAAGATGTTTCAAAGGTTGCTGCTTCTCAGCCCGGCCCGGGGGAGGGGGGGAGACCCCCATGGCCTCGGTTCTCCGCCCATCCGGGGCTGAATGCAGCCTCCATCCGCCGAGGGAAAAGCCCAAGCTTAGCCTGCGGCTGAAACCAGAGAATCGTATTTTTCTTTTTAAAGTTTTCTTTGAGCTTGCTCATTTCAGCTGAGGCAGGAGAGAAAGGTTCATTCAGGCTTCTTGAGGGCTATGGAGACTGGGAAGAAGGGGAAGCTCTGTGTCTGCTGCTAGGGGCTTTGTGAAAAGCAAGCGTGTTCTCAACTACTGTGTATGTGCTATACGGGAAGCTGCATGCTGTGAGGAAATATGCAGTTTACACTGCTAAAAACAAAACAAAACAAAACAAGAACAAAAAACAAACAAACAAAAAAACAAAAGCAAAAGCAAAAACCAAAACCAATCAAACAAACAAAAAACAGAGAATCATTGGTACTTTTTCAGTACTTCTTTATCATACCATACCATGCCATACGATGCCATATGCATGTCTAAATCTGTTTTGCCACATTTACTTATTTGTTTGTTTGTTATTGTTATTATTATTATTATTATTATTTTTAACAGATATAAACTGGATTGGAAAAGAGAGTGCTTTAAGGTTGGCTAAAACAACCTTCAGAACCCTACGGGTGGCAGTATTCCTGAAAAAAATCTCTTTAGCCTCTTTCATGATCTGAGCTGTTTTAAGTGCAGTTATTCTATCATACCATCTATTTTTCCTTTTCTACAGTCAGGAAACTGAGTCACAGGGAGAACAAGTGAATTTACCATGTTTATGCAGGAAGTCTTCAGAAGAACCTTAGAATGACCCCAGATGTTCCAAGTACTTTTCAATTGCAATAACAATTATCTGCATTAATCTTCATCACCCCACTGTACTTAACACCTCCTCCCAGTGAATCAAACAACTTTTCCTTAGCTCTTCCTTTTATTTCTCCAGAAGATTTTCACAGAAGGAGGTTTTAGTATGACTGAGATGAGTTTCAAGTGGCAATTCAAATTCTAGTCTTTTCCATTTTTTTTCATTACACTCACAAATCATACTAATTCTGTGCCATTTTAAGGTGTTTTGATAGGAGTAAGTCATTAAAAACAAAATAAAAACTTTATAAAAGGCAGATATAGAAAGCTTTGTATAGGAGTCCCAACTGAATACTCTAAGTACTACATTCTACTGAAAGAAACTGTCCTTTCAGAAAAGTGACACTTAGACAACAACACTGCTTGGGAGCTTCTTAAGGGCAATAATCAGACACAGGCAACTCTCAGTCAAGTATTTTGCAGTTGCTATTGATGGAATCCTGATGTGTAACAGCTGCATGTCGATTGAAGCTTTTGTCTTTATTTCATGTTATCAATCACCTTTGAGTTATTCCTGCTTCTTTGTTTGTTTTCTTTAACTTTCCACTGCACAATACCAAAACGATGATTGAAAATTTTGCAATATTTGGGAACGATGGCAACTCCATTATACAGGATTGAAGAAAGAGTATAAGTTTGTCTGAAATCTTAACTTTCCATTTATACACAAACCTCTGCGGTGCATGATATAGGTCAAGTACTTCATTTGGTGGAAAGAGATTAGAGATTTTTTAGGTTTGGTAGTTAGATTTGATTATTCCTTTTAACTTATAAAACTACTGAAATTTAAAAGACTAAATAATTCCTATAGCCAAATTCTTAGCCAAGGATATCTGGTTAGTTCCACTAAGGACCTGCTTAATATTTGCCAAATTTATCAAAAAGAGAAATTACATGAACAGTAGAAATACTGTTTTATTTTGAAAAGAAGAAGAAAGAAGAGAGTTGTCTTAGAGCTTGCATATTATATCAGAAAAGGAAACTACTTCTGACTCATGAGCTCTGCCTCATGAATCGCTGGGTCTGAAGAATCTCCCTTGTGCATTACAGCTCATGTTCCTGTAGACGAAATTCTGTCTTTGATCCCATAGCCATATCGCATTGATTCATGAGTTCTCAGAGCTTACAGAGCAGATCGATGGAGTACTGCCATTCAGCTTTTCCAATTTCCACAAAAGTGATAACAGAAGAAATGTCAAGAAAGTGTACAAGAGGAGTAGAACATTGAAATAAGAAGTCATAAACTAATCTGTCCATCTCTAATCCTTCAGCAGCATGACTAACATAACCTTCAATTTGTTCTCTCAGCACCCTGTTACCTTGCTTGCTTCTTGCTTCTTTCCTGTAAACATTCACAATCCTCAATACCACCTATTTGGAAAAAAATGATGTGATCACATGCTGAATCTTGTACTCATAGCACTCTTTTTGAAGTCATCTTTGGATACCTTTCAGAGCAAATAAGAAAACCACCAGTTCATTCTTTTAGATACGGTTTAATTCAAAAGCACAGTCCCCATACAATCATTCAAACCTACAAATCATTCAACCATACAAATCTTCGGCCTGAGTCAGTTTTACAGGCTCAGAAATGTGATAGTAAATAGAATTAATAACAGACAAATATTTTGCAATTGAAACTGCACTATTTCCTTCCTTCCAAAAACATTCACCAGTGGAGTGCTCATCTCTTCAGTTCCCAGGCCGGGAGGATATTGTGCTGGTGAACCAAGGAACATTTATCTCCTCATTTTGGCTCATTTTGAACCCTCATGTCACACATCCTCAGAGCAGAGTGATTAACTGCAGTATACTATAGTAACAAATTAGTCTACTTATACAAGTTTCTCCTGTTCCAGGTATTACCTTCATATTGTGACCTAGTGTGGGTTAACAATTTCCAAAACCAGTTTTCAAAATCACTGGGACATTGGGATTATTTCTATGACTTCCAATCACTCTCCCACCTTTTATATTAGTAAGTTTTGATGATTCAGTGATTCACCACAAGCCATTCAGATTTCTTTTCCATGAACATATGAGCATGATTCATTAAAACTGCCTAGTTTTGATGAACAATTAACATGAAAGGAAAGATGTTGAATCCAGTGGTGTCCCCAAAGGTCTTTTCCCCTTGTCTAGCATGCCATCTATGAAAATTTTTATTGATCATTGTTTAGTTGCATATTTTCATATTTCCTATTACTCACTCTAAAGTGCAAGTTCAGCTTTGCAAAAACATATTGTTTTCTCTGGGTGTTTATACTGTTTGGCATGTGCTTGAACTACTGTTTCATGTTCATCTGGTTCATGACATTCACCTCAAAACCTGAAAAACCATGTGGTAAAACAAAGCTTGTCAGGAAGATAGAGTGATTTGTATTTTAGTTATGTCAGGTGCTTGTTTTAACAAACTATCCGAAATATGTCCTATTCTTATCAACAGTGCTATAAACTTCAGCAAAGGATCAGTTGACGTTTTCTTTGCCAGAAATGTGACCCTCCATACTACTGCAGCTGCCCCAGTCCATTTGTCTCCTCTGAAAATCTAAAATTACCTCTTTGTATGTCAAGTATGTGTATCTTCAGGATTCTACAATGTTCAGACTCAGCTTCTCATCCATGTGCAGCTAACTCAAAGCAACATATTTTCTTTCATAGAGTTTAGAAATTTTCCATGTGCATTGATTTGTCTGTACTAAGCAGGAAATTCTATAGTGAATCTTTTAAAAAACACTTTTTTTTTTTTTTTTTTTTTTTTTTTTTTTTTTTTTTTGTTAATGATATTTCAGTATTTGTTAGTTTAGATCAAGATATTAGGAACTGCCTTTCAAACCTATGTCTTAGCATTTTCCCCATTCTTTCCCAACCTTCACCTGTACTAAATAATATCCTTTTGCCTATAACTGTACAAAAGGAAAAGAGAATGGAAAAAAAAAATCCATAAACTCTTCAGATTATTTATTAAAAGTAAAACATAAACAAAAAATGCATATAACAGCATGACAGTAAAGCTCAAAATCATGAGACCGAACATGTCCAGGGCCCATTATCTCAGACTGATCTACTATTGCCACTAACCTTATGGATTATAATTACAAGTTCACCAAAAGCTTGAATCCAATAAACCAGTGATGATACTGGATAGGAATACATCTCTAGATGCAGACTAGCTGTTGTATGTCTCTTAATCTTCTTACTTTCTTCTAACACTAGCTGGGAAAAAAAAAAAAGACATGAAGTATCATGGAATCTTGTTCATTTATACATTTAAATCTTAATGACTGTAGACTTTTATACGGTGCACAGTGTCTGTACAGTAGTGACTGTGATAGTTCTCTGATTTTACAGAGATCCTATTTCCTGTGTCTAGTACAAGAGCCTAGTACTAGGCTGTGCACAAGGCCAAATTCTTTCTGTATTCACCACTGAATGTTGCTACTATTGAAGTCCAGAAGCATGTGAGAGCAGACATACTGTCTCAGGATATAGAAAAAACACGTCAATTGAGATGGAAAGCACATTTTAAGATGTTAATTATGCCAGGATAACTTTATCTCTTGAACTGGCCTAATCATCGCATGTTCTTTATTTACTGAGCTGAAAAAAGCAACAATCTAAATGCTACGACAGAAACAAGCTAAAAATGCTTCAGTCTGAAGCAATTACCACTATTGTCTTTGTGGAAAAAGAGCTGACAGAAGTTTTCTAAAATTGCCTATGTGTATAAAGGGTATAGTATAGCGTGCTGTCCTGGAGCACTACTCTAAGTCTAATATATGTTATTTCAGCTGGGAAATGCCATATTTGTACATAGGCTGCTCCAAAACTAATGCCTCCTATTTATTCATATGGAAATTACAACTGATACAAAAAGCATAATTGTATGGGAACTGCTGAGTCACGGCCTGAAGCTCTGATTGATCACCTGAGGCGAGCAATGAGTCAGCCAGAGGAGTACAGGTGAAGGCAAATCACCTGTGCTGCCAGAAGGGGTGGAGCCAGGCTCCACCCCTCCTAGACCTATTTAAGAGCTGGCTACCAGTGGGGAAGGATCTCTTCTGGAGACTGGCTCTGCTGGAGTTTTGTGAGTGAGCCCAGGATAGGGGTAAGCCTTCTATTTATTTTCTTTTTGTTATTGTAGTCTGCTTTGGCAAACTCTCTTGTTCATTTCATAATTATGACTTCTTAATATTCATTGATTATACGCATTATAATACTGTTTGACAGAGCAAATTCTCAGATATAAAGCACTATTTTTCAATATAGTCACCACCATTAGCTATGCATCTTGACTGGTGATGAGCAAGAGTGTGTATGCTGCACTTGCAAATTCCTGCACCAGTGGAGGTGATCTACTGTCATTGTCATCACTGCTGAAATTCACCACCCACCTCTTTACTGTGCTCACATCCATCGATTATCTCCAGAAATGTTCAGTAAGCATCAATTAGTGGGTGCCACTTTTTCTGCATGGAGGAATTCAATGGCGCACCTTTAATTCATATACTCTCCCATATCACATGTCATTTTGTCATGCTGCCCCTCTGCTGCCATCTGTCGCACAGCAACAAAATATGATGGAACACTGGTGGGAATGTTGAACTTCTACTGCCATTCCACCAACATCCACCTGTGATATTGCAAGCAAACATAATAAAACAGGAAGTGTTATTTTCAGAGCAGCTCTCAGAACTTTGAGCACCTATGCCAAAAGAACTGGCAGTGTCTTCAGTTCTATGGAATGATAATTTTAAAATGTTGCTACCTACTGCTTAGCAATGAGAGGAATTTTAGTCCTTTGAAATCTGCTAAATTTCATACTGGAATTATGACAAGTCATTTATTTATAAGTTACTGAAGTGTATGTGAATCTTGCTCCTTGTGACTCCGGCCTAAATGTGCAGTTACATCAAAAGCAGCACAGTAAATACAATTGTATTTCTGTTATAACACTAATCCAGCATGTAACGAGAAGATGATTTTTTTAAAATTGGATGGTAGCAAATAATTATTTTTTATGAGGTTTAAGTACATCTCTCCAGGTCAACTGTAATTGTTTCATCTTACCTAAAACACTTACTTAAAACATTTTCTGTTTTAATATAAAAATATTTTGGTATTGATTCCAATCCCCTTTCTGTGTATTTCAAGAATTTCAGTGGAATTCTCCACACTTGCATCTTCTAATGTGTGGTCCATTGCATCTGCTATTCTTTGATGATGCATTGGCCCATGCTCTGATACTGCACAAAGAAAAGACACAATTGTGAAAAACCCTGTTATTCAAGGCTGGATTTATTGGTTATCCATAGAACATGTTCATCAAAATCAGGTTTGGAGAACAGAATATCACAAGAAAAATATACACCAGCAGTTTCAGAGTTCAGTAATTCTGCAAGTTATCTAGATTTAGCTAGTAGATAACCAGAACAATAAGTATGATGAAGAGCATGAATAGATTAATAAACATTTCTTCATGAAATGTAGGAAAAATATTTTTGTGTTCATTGCCTTTGTGAGAAGGGACTAAATTGTAAGTACTCTGGAGAGCTAACTCTGTCAATATCCTAGTCATACATATCCTTCTCAGCACTTTTTTTAATGAGACAAGATTGTATTTTATCACAGTCTGGTTTAAAGTTTCTTTTTATTTCTCTATGCAAATATGAACACATTTGTTCATTAAGGCATAGGTGAAGTTTTATGGTAGGTTCCCATTGAAGTATTTGTCCAAAGCCTTGAGACTTGGTTTGAGAAGACAGTAAATCTTTCTGAAGTTTGGAGACATCGGGAAGAGTATCAGCTTGCTCTCATTCATTTGTGTTGCTGAAAGGCTCTTAAAGAGTAATGTTTCATTGGCTCAGAACAAGGTTTTATTGACGATTACCTGGTGAGAAGCTTAATTTAGATCAAACTCAGGTGGTCTGCCACAAAAAAAATAGGGTGAGAGTGATACTAAGATGGAGATACGTAATGGATTAACCAATTTGGTTGGTTCAATATTCTGAAAGTGTTTATTTTGTTCTTTTTTTCCCCGGTAGAGGTTGAAATACTTCCATCAACAAAGTAAACAAAACTAGGTGTCTATTTTCATTGGCGAGTATGCTAAATTTGAGCTTGTTGGATAACCATGGAGCTCTTAAGTTGACCACCATGAAACAATAGCCAGAGTAAATAGTGGTTCACAATTATAACTTAATGCTGACAGAAGGCATAATAGAGGCGTGGATTTGATTTGTAGGCTTAAACTCAGAAAACATTCTCACTGGGAATCATTTATTTATTTATTTTTGTCACTGGCATGATACTCTATATGTTTATTTCTACAAACATAAGATTTCAGTCTAAGGACATCATTAAAATAAAGCTAGGAAGTCTAAAGATTACGGTCATTCAAAATTGGGTATGGGAAGGGCAACAAGGTCATCTGTCACAAGTATTCTTTCTTGTTCTTGTTTGAGAGATGTTCTCAGTTTGCTACTGGATGCATCAGCTCACTTGGAAGAGTAAAATAGCATCTCTCTCTACTGATGTTAGTCAATGAGTACTGACATTTTTAATATTGAGTTTGAAGAAAGGAAGAATGAAAGGGTAACAGAAGTTGACTTGATCAGATTTATCTTTCTCTCAGAACTTGAAAGAAATAGGTGTTGGATGTCACCAAGCTGTGTTCTGCAGCCAACATACTGGAGGGAAGATATGCCATCCAGAAGGACCTTGACAAGCTTGAGAAGTGGGCCCATGCAAACATCATGGTCTTCAGCAAGGTTCAGTGTAAGGTCCTTCAAGTGAGTTGGGGCAATTTCAATCACAAATACAGGCTGCACAAAGAGACTGAGAACAGCTCTGAGGAGAAAATCTCTGTCAATAAAAAACAAAATATGAGACAGCAATGCATACTTGCTACCCTGAAAGCTGAATATATCTGTAAGAGACTATTCTGTTAACTTCTGTGTCTCAAAGCTTTCTGGGGACACAGATGGACTTGTTCAAGTCCCGAGCAAGGATTGTGAAATCCTCTGTCTGGGGGAATGCAGATGGACAAGGCCAGGGGCAACGAGAGCGAGATAAATAGCTGTGAAGTGCTCCTTTGTGTGGACCTATCTCCGGATGATGGCCATCTCAGGGGGCCTTGCTCAAGGCCCATCCTTGTCAAGTAGGCAGGAGAATAAGGAGGATAAAAGAGGAACTGAAAATCATGAAGAACGGTGGTTTCTGACAACAGATTCCTCATGAAGAACGGAGGTCGTTTTCTGACGAGATCCCTCATGAAGAAGAACAAAGGGATTCTGGAAGATTGAGGTGATTCCTGCATACTGTCAAACTCTCCTGAGCCTGCTGCCTGACCGCTGTTGCTGCTTCAAGAATTGGCTCCTCGACTTCCTTGTCTACCTGCCTGCTGCCCAAGGCCTGCCACGCTGCTGCTCCCTGTCTTCTGCTGCGTTCTGCCCGGGACACCGTGCAACAGGACCGCTGCTGGATCCTGCTGGTGACTATCCTCACTTTACGCAACTCCTGCTTCTTTTCCATCTTTTCTATCGCACACCTTCCCTTCCCCATCTCCCTGATTAGGTCTTAGTAATAAACTGGATGCAACAACATATGAACCGTTGTTTCTTAATCTCACACTGGGTATACAGATATTAAAGAACCTCATCTCCCTCCTATAAATTGGAGCGAGACAATATCCTGTCTCATGAAGAGAAGTGTGACCAGCAGGTGAAAGGTGATTCTGACTGTCACTCTTCTTGAGTGAGACCAAGCCTCGTGTACCGTGTTCAGCTCTGGAGCCCTCAGCATAAGAAAGACATGGATTTGTTGGAGTGAGTCCCAAGGAAGGCCATGAGGATTATCAGAGGGCTGGAGCACTGTGAAGTCAGGCTGAGAGAGTCAAGATAGTTCAGTTTAAATAAGTGAACCTACAGGGTGACCTAACAGTGACCTTCCAATACTTAACTGGAGTCTACAGGAAAGACAGGAAGGGTAGACTTATATTAGATATAATGAATAGACTATTTTCTGTGAGGGTGGTGAGGCAATGAAACAAGTTGGGTCCTGCACTTTGGCTGCAACAACTCCAGGCAATGCTATAGGCTTGGGGAAGAGAGGCTAGAAGACCGTGTTGAGGAAATGGACCTGGGGGCACTGACTGACACTCAGCTGAACATGAGACAGCTGTGTGCCCAGGTAACCAAGAAGACCAGTGGCATCCTAGCTTGTATCAGAAATAGTGTTGCCAACAGCAGCAAGGAAGTGATCATCTACCTGTACTCATCTCTTGTGAGGCTACATCTTGATACTGTGTTTAGTTTTGGGCCTCTCACTACAGGAAGAACATAGAGGACCTGGAATGTGTCCAGAGAAGGACAAAGAACTTGAGAAGATTGGAGCAATATTTCTATGTGGAGAGGCTGAGGAAACCAGGATTGTTTAGTCTGAAGAAGGGGTGGCTTGAGAGACACCTTCTTGCTCTCCATAACTGCCTGAAAGGTGTTCAGGTTGGAAGGGATACTAGATGATCCTTAAGATCATCTAGTTCCAGCACCCTGCTATAGTTAGGGACACCTCCCTCTAGACCAGGTTGCTCAAAGCCTCATCCAGCCTGGCCTTGAATGCTTCCAGGGAGGGGGCATTCATAACCTCTCTGTTCCAGTGGGCAGCGTGTTCCAGTATCTCATCATCCTCATAGTAAAGAATTTTTTTCTAATATCTAGTCTAAATCCACCCTCTTCAGTTGAACGCCATTTCCCCATGTTGCTCATGACAGCTCTGGTGAGTAATGGGTTCCTTTCTGAGCCGACTGGAGCTGCCTCTGATCTGACATGGAGCAATTTCTGGACTCTTCCCACATAAACTCAACACAGCCCCTCTCTAAGAGTCTGCATAAGGACATAAGGATAACCATTTTATCCTCACAGAACATTTCACATGATCAAGGAGTGACGGGGAAGTGAGATTAGCAGAATAGTCATCTGTTTTCACAAAGAGAAAACTTTCATCAAATAGAAATCATTTGGCAGATACAAGTTATGCTTTTAAATTAGGCAGTAGAACACTGTAGTTTATGGAATTATATCCTGATTCAGAAGAGTTATTAAGCATATGACTAATCTCACTGCAATGAACAGAAAAGCAATAGTGATTAAGTTATTGGTGGTCAGTAAGTGCATGTGGAGAATTAATGGTAAATCTGAAACAATCTTTTTGTCTGGATTGGTTTTGGTAGCAATATTCTCATTTGTGTGACTAGCATGCTCCATTTGCAAATCTACCCCTATAGAACAGCAATATGTAAATCTGTATAAATTCCTTCTGATTTACAACTTTGGTGTCCTGATAACTGAATACTTAGTCTTAAAAGTTTTTAATCACTAATGATTCAGATTTTGAGCACAACATCAAGCTAAGCAAGGTCTGAAACATTCTATCTGTTTTTATATCTTTTGTAATGTCCAAAATTGGAAGAAACTTTCAAAAACATCTGGCCATTCCATGTCTTACAGAAAAAAGCAGGAACATTTGCTCATATTCTGTGTTCCTAGTAAATACGTTTAAATGTTCTTTATGATATCTAGGAGTTTGTTCAATACAAAGAATCTATCTGAAAATGCGTCAAAGATATGTGACACTTGTCGATTGTTTTATGTTATGTGAACATTTTGGTTTGTTATTGTCCTGGTCATCGCGCTTTAGAGTTTTCCATATCTAAAATCAGGAAGTGGGCAATAGGTAGCTGTTGAATAGGTGGATGGCACATCACTTCTAAGAGAATATAAGGAATATAGTACTCTATTTTCTGACTGCATACATTTTACTGTTACAGCAGAAGCTTCTAAATGTTGCTTTTAAGATGTCTGTGAGAAAGCATGCCAATGCATGTGCCTTGTTGTGGATTAGGGATTACTGAACAAAGAGAAACGTTTTCTGGCATCTTTCAGGAATATTATTAGGAAAATAAACAGTCACACTATCACTTACTGTGCAAAGTCATGGCAAATATGCTATTTTCTAACTCATTTACATTAATTGAAGCCCACCTTTACAAACACTGAGCTTTTCCAGTTCCTGTTTCTTTCATGAGTATTTTTGCCTTGCTAGGGACATTTCTGGCCTAGAGCAGGTTCACCCAAATGAAACAGATTAAAATCTACAAATGCTTAACTTTAGTGTTTCAGGGAGAATTTAGTTACTTTTTTTTTTTAATTCGTGCATTTCAAATATGTTTAGATGCTGTAGGAATGTCAATATTCAACTTCCTTTTCAGAAGTGATTCAATACCTGGGAACACTGAAACGCGAAAAGATGTTATTTGTTGTGTACACAAGCACTCAAAAATATGTTTTTTGAGCATTCAGGGGTACTTATGAGAGTTTTATGTTACCCAAAAATGTTCAAAAATCTCTACATAATGAATAATTTCGCTGTACATTGGTAAGAATTTTGCAAGACATCTCAGAGAATTCAGTTTCGCTAAATGATGATTGTCACATACTCTGACAAAAAGATGGTTGTATCTTTCCATACTACTACCCAAGGGGTTACAGAGAATTAAAAGCAGAAGACGCAAAAGAAAAAATCACAATGCTTTGTTGCTGGCAAACTAGTGCTGGAGGGTTTATCACATGAAACCCAATCAATTCCTTAAAGTGATTCTCTGGATAACAAAATTATCTTTCCTGTTGCTTGGCAGAGAGCAAAAGGATAGGATAGAATGAAGACCTGTGTATTTTTGTCACTGTAGTTAATCCACATGGAGAGATATGGAACACGCTATGCAACTACATAAAGAAGCAATAAACAGCAACAAAAAATTCTGCATTCCTTCTAGTAAAGATCAGAACAGGAGCAGAACACAGGCAGAGAATTAATCTCCCTCCTGTGCTTCAATGGGTCTCCAGTGGGCTTCAACTCAATCCCTAGATGGGTTGCCAAAGGTTCATCCTGTTTTTCATTGGCAACTTCTACGTGTACATACAAAAGAATTCAAATTACTGTCAGCTGTGATTTGTGCTCCTGTCAAGCTGAAACTAGAACATGGCATCACTTTTCCTCAGTGTGCCACCATAAAATAAAGTCAGTTGATATTGACACAGGTCATCCCTGACAAATATAAGAATGATTTTGCAATTTTGCATTTCGATGCCTTTCCATATAGTCCATGTTCATAGGCACATCAGAGAGTTATGTCCTAAATTAGCAAATCTAATTTCCTGCGATCTTGGACCCATCACTCTGCATTGCCCATTTCAAAGGCACTCTACTTTTGTTTAAAAGAACTCCTTGCTCTTTCCCATCCGTCAGAGTGCAGTTACTTGATTCTGCTCCTAAATAGATAAAAATAAAAAAGCCATGTCTCTGTTGCAGAATGCCACATGGAAAGAAGACAGGAAACATGTTTATAAAAATAGGTCTGCTACCCAGTTCATGTCCATCAGACAGTGCCACCCTCATGAGGTAATGTTGTCATAACTCTGATGGGAGCCAAGAGTTTACATAAAAGTTAAAAAGAGAAAGGAGACATGAAACCAGACTTCTCTGTCAAGTTGCGTTTTCAGGCTGCATTTGCAGGCAAGAGCACAGGATGCAACACAGCCACCACCTAGCACAGTGAGGTCTGAGGTTCCAGTGATGTCAATGCTGATTTTTAGAATTCTGCTCTCTGTTTTGTGAAGCTATACCAGCAGCGTTTTCCTTAATCTGCTCTGGATTTGGCAGAGGTAAATTTCCATTTTTTTTTTTTTTTTTTTCCCAGAAGCTGTACTGCATCATAGACATCACCTAATTTTATCAAGTGCCTATAGGTCAGGGATCTGGCATGTGTCATTTCAGTTCTGAGAGGATATTTCCAGTAAATGTGTTTTTCATTTTATATTTAAGAATGAACGTGGAGATGACTCAAAAACTTCATGGCAAATTGCAACTGAACTTTACAAAATTGATTTGGCAAGTCTTCTGAATGTTCATTGTGTTACGGTATGAAGATCAATCTTAAGAGATTATCAGAAATTCTTCAATAGGGAAAAGTCAAGGAATACTGAACAAACTACTGCAAATACATTGGAACATAACTAGACGCAAAAAAAGAGCTGGTAAATTTTGTCTTCTATATTGAACTAGAACTGGAGAAATAGGTTTTGTGCACATGGGCAATTAAAACAAAATTCTCTTTGTGAAAAGAAGTAGCTCTGTTCACTTCAGGACAAAGTGTCATGGCATCAGGGTGACTGAAGTTCTGTCCATTCCTTCCTGTGTGATTCTTGCCATACCCTTTAATTACTGCTTCTCAGTGTTAAAAATGTTATATACAAATCTGTTGTGAGGCTTAATTAATTGCTTGTATATGCCCTGAAATCTGCAGAAATACTTTTAAAATAAATTGGCTCTTCCTCCTAATATTTTATATTGTAACCAGGGACTATAAATGAGGAATGATAATCTTTTGATATAATTATAATAATTTTAATAATTATAATGATTATATAATAATTATTAATTATAATATCCTAGGTGATCCCTGAATTCAATTTGAAGGTCAATCCCATGCAGTTTAAGCAGGAACTCTGTAAGCCCTGACAACATGCTTAAAGCAAACGCTTCGTAGATTGAAGTCCAAGTACTGGTAGGCCACTGAATTTGTAATCACCTTATTGATGAGGGATATTTGTATTGCCCTGAAGTGTTATATCTTCTGATGAATTCTCATTTCATTTAAAAAATAGTTAATTCCTACTAACATAAGAAAACAAAGCATTTTATGATTGCTTTAATTTTCACATGCAGTCCTTGGAAAGAGTTCTAACATTGCACATTCCAATGCTAACTTCATATACTATCATCATCAATGGTCTGTCTCTCCATAGAGAAGAGGAAAGATCAAATCTCCATTAACATTCTGAACTACATCAGCCTGAATAATTCAAGATAGTAAACTTCCATTTAAGTATTTTTTTAAAAAGTCAACACGTTGATTTTTGAAAAAAACAAAACCCATGAGGTCAAGATTATAACACCTATCTTTATTTCACATTCTGCACTTCTGGAGAACTTACAAAACATCAACTTCAGATATTGTTAAAACTGATATCCAACAATCCTTGTTATGCATCAAACAATCTGTATTTTTAATCTCCCTAATCCAAGGGAAATTAAAAATATTTTGGTATCCAGTGTTCACGATAAAAAATACAGTACGTTTAAACTTGTCTACATTGTATACTAAATATTCTTTAATATAAGTAATATACTAAGAAAATATGTAATTTTCATCTTAAACCACGAGTAAGAAAAATCACTCATCTGGAATGATTTCTCTCAAGAATAGAGCAGTTTTGGCCAGCTAGGTGCTGTATGCCAAGCTGTCTTTTCAAACAGTCAGTCCACTAGACTCAATATGCAAAGGGAGAAGGTGTGAATTCTGCTTTTTGAAAGCACGTCAGAAAAGGCAGTGTTACCTATTCTAGAACTAGGAGACCATGAAAGCACTCGTATGCAATGAAGTTCATCAGACTCAATAAGACTATAAGAGAAAAAATATTATTAGAGAATAAAATAACAAAGCTGCTTTTCTCCAGAGGACTACTTTTTTTTAAGCCTGTAGCCTGTGATTAGCCAAATGCAATTTTGCAGCCTTATCAGCAAGTCTTCAGTGTACTGGAACTCAAAGTGTCTGCTATGAAAAATGTAAACACAGTAAGTTGTTGTTCTAGCACTGACATACATTCCTCCAGAAAGGGAAAAAAAAAGGTACACTAAAAATAAAACATGAAAGCCAGCCAGTAAATAAATGCATAATAACTTGCTTTTATAAGAAAGAATACTTGTAGTTTATAATAAGTAATACTTGTAAGTTCAATGTAGCAATGTTTGCAGATGGAAAGATTTGTGGCTGGAAGACTGTAGTTAAGAGATCAGTAGTGCTACACAAAGGATGCTGGACTCTGCAGAGAAATGTGAGCTGCTAGATGCCAAAAGCCTGCAAAGTAAGGTGTGAAACATTTTGCCCATTCTCAAAATCTGCTGAATCCTTGTCCCTCTTAGAGAACAGGTGAGGACTCAGGTTCTCTGCTGAAACACAGGAACAACTCTTCAGGATCAGGGGTCCTTCAGGTGGTAGCTGTCAAGCAGATTTAGGAATTAAATGTCTATTTCTAAGTGAGGAGTAAGACTCTTCTCCTACTTGTGGAAATTCTTTTGTCTTTATTCAAACGTGCAAGACCTAACAGAAAATTGATATAATAAATTTTAAACCACCCCCATTTATGTGTTAGTTCAAAATCCTGAACTTGTCATGTTGGTGCAATTAGTCTCAACTAAGACAGTTGACTATAACAGTTAAGAATGTAAGTTAACCTCAACTAAAATTCCATCTTTATCTTCATGTTACACGCAACTGTACAATACCAGTGTTCAGATGTAAATGTCTAAAATGCTGTTAATAAAAGGCAAGATTTCAGTGAATAACTTTCCAGGAAGAATTAAAATTCTGTGCTATTTGAGAAATATAATTTTAAATAAGGAAATGAGCAATCTCACAGCAAAGCAGGAAACTTAATTAAAAAACTAGTGGTCATTCATGCAATGCTTATCTTGATAACCATAACCAGACAAATGAGAGAGACATCAGGTTTTCTGTTCCCATACAGCCTTCTTGGGCATTAAAAGGTGGCTACCTCTTCAGCTGGCAGGAGATAGAAAATTCTCTAAGACTGTCATCAAGCACTTAATATGCTCTTCAAAACTTTTCTTTACATGAAGGATGATATACCTTAATATTTTTCTCATACTGTGAGGAATTTCACACAAACAGCTCTAACATGGAATCTTTTTAAGGTTCTCTGCAATCAATGGAACCATGGATGGAACTGTGATGTTAAATCTTCTGCATGGCTTTTGTCTAAGGTTCCTCATTTCGAAACTGTTGTACGATTATAGTGAGAAGCTGGTTAATGGAAGTGTTCATTGGAATAAATATAAATATCCTTGGGAAAATGAACAGAACCAGAAAGTTTGGGTTTAATTTGCTTGTTTGCTATTTAAAGATGAACTGAATAGTGAAAATTGCAATAATGTTTGTATCAATAATTTCTAAAATTCTCTTTGAGAAATGATTTTTTTTTTTTTTTTTTTTTTTTTTTTTAATGCAGCAGCATTTTCTTTCCCCTAAAGAAAAAAATATAGTGGCTACAATACAGCAGTAGAAATATGTCAGCATATTGCAAAGCAGTAAATTAGAGGCGGTAGTGCAAAAACAAGTGATTCATTGGATGGTGGGACATAACTCTCTAAGAAATCAGCACTACCTGCCTCCTGGCAGTGCACATGCCCTCTGCAATGTGTCACAGCAGCTGGAGACTTCTTGGAGATCTTCATCATGCACAGAAAGTTGCTTGGGATGATTGAGGTTCCTCCAAAAATAACTGTGTGTTTGTGGCAAGGTCCTATCTCAGGAGTCTGGGAATGCTTTTATGATGGTTTCATACGCAGGAGGAGGAGTTTGTGTGGAGTGGCAGATACGGAGGCTATTGTTAGACCAGTGGAATTCAGGTCGACTTAAACTGTTGGTTGTGCTTCCCACGAGGGTTGTAGTGGTGTTGGTGGGAGTGAGGGTGATCAGCTGACTGTTTGTCTCCACAGGGAGGGGAGGAGACTGCAGAAAAGGGTGGAAGGTGGATGCACGGAAACTTGACTTCCTGGGGAAAGAGTTGGCTTGTTCCAAGGAGGCTTGCCGCTGGAAGGTGAGGCTGGCCAGACTGAGGTTGCTTCGACGTTCACAGCTGCTGTTACGGTAAAATCCAGTCCTGCTAGAAGAGTGGGATGTGGGTCTGGACCGGCGAGTGAAGAGTGAAGAGTTACCCTGGGAAATGTGGGCACTAGCTCTGCGACGGGACAAGCAGGTGAATAAAGCCCAGATGATCCCTCCAATCACTAGTCCAATCAACATGGACACTGTGAAGGCTATTGTTACATGCTCTGAAATACAACAGAAATACACAGTAAGGATACTTTAGATCTGAAGCACAATCTTGCCTGAAAATGATCTGAATGTGGCTGCCTCCTTAAAAGATGAGCAAACCTGCACATATTTGTGCGAAATACGTGAACCTTAGCAGCACAGAAGAATTCATACTGTTCTTGCTACAGGGTATTTTTTATTTAGTTTGCAGAATTCAGTAACATTTGGAAAGTAGCTTGCATTTAATACCAGCCTCTGTGCCAGCCAATGCAAGGGAAAAATCTTTAGTCTCTTTCAAAAATGGCCACCAAGAAGCACCAAGGTGTGCTTATGAAACCACCAAGCTTTTTCTTCTTCTTCACATACAAAATGTAGATTTAGACAGGCTTGCCATCTTTTTCATAGGTATTTATGTTCTGTGTGTGTGTTTACTAACTTATTACAAGTGAGACATATCCATGTTCTTAGAGGATTAAGCCCTGTATCTATTCTAACAAGAGATTCATATCCTAGCCTTTTACCACTGACAAAAAGATACCTTAAATCCTTTTAATAATTAGTGTAAATCACCATACCCTGAATGATTTAGGTCAAAGGTAACTATCAGTAGCACTAAGTCTATTGAATAATTCTCACCTCCCATGCTTAATTTGAAAATATACTGATCTCCCATTGGGAAAATAAAGCAGTAAGAGACTTGAAAATAAAAAAAGAGCATGAAGAATGCCATTTTCTCCCCTACATGTTTTCATAGGTGTATAGGAATAAGATTTTCTAATAGCTCAGGTACTTCAGAAAACTTGTACATTTGTAATCTTGAATAAGGCCTGAAACAAAAGGAAAACATTTACAGATCCCCTAAAAATACAAGCTGGGTTTGGATCACAAGTGAGATGAAACTCTGTGCTGACTATTGATTGAGAAAAGAGGAAATGAGTGAAAGAGAGCCATAGAAATATTTGAAATGATTATTTTGTCTGTGTCATTATGCTTGTGAAGCACTTCTGTTTAGAATGAGAATGGAAAGGATTAAGGAAAAGAGTATTGAGGAGTTTATTCATTCAGTACTTTTTAGGACAGATGAAAATGTAAGGAGGCCCAGAAAATTTGAATTCTAATTAAGCCACTGGCATTTTGGATGTACATACAATCCTGTCGTTGTTTGTTTGTGATCTCTGTTTTCAGATAGGTTTCTGATCAAAATACTCTGCAAAAGGTAGAATAAAGATGTAGGTGATAAAGCACAGGGTAGTTCTGCAATGCACATCTTCCTGTTAAAAATACTTTGTTGCTCTTTTGATCAGAGGCAGACCAGATTTAACCTCAAAATATTATTTTTCCTTAAGCCCTCATTTTTAAAACTAAGATACTCTTGACTGGGCAAACTGCAGCCGAAGGACAAATGTTTGTTCTATTTTTGCAGGAGCTCATGAGTAGCAGCATCCGGTGTTGCAACTCCTGACTGCAGATCAGAGCCTCATCACCATCAGTAGCCTTCTGACAAACATGTAATGATTCTGCGCTTTATAAAGATATGTTTGGAGACATGGCAGGCCTTACTGTGCCATTTTTCTTTATGTTAGAAACAGTCTATTAGGCTGTTCTAATGTGTTTAGCATCTTCAGGTGCTGCATATTCCTCCTCATCCTCCTGAAGATAGGATGGAAGAGCCAGATCTTGGTGAGCCTCAGTGAGGAGAGCCCAGAAGATGTTTTAAAGATACCTTCCCAAACACCAGAACTGTAGTCTGAGCATCCCTACTCTTGTCCCAGCATGGCCATGGGAAAGAGGAGCAAGAGCTAAACATTTTTAGATTGATTTCTTTCACATCTTGCCTAGAATTCTAGTTACATTATTATATTTTGAGACAGTCAAGAAGTCCTCCAAACACAAGGGTTTGTGCTGCTTCCCAGTATCCCCGCTTCTATTTGGGCTCCTGACTCTAGTAGAGAGGAGAAGGTGCTTTCTGTGAGGCTCACATGGAAGAAGACAAGCTCAGTTAGACAAACTAACATGTTTGGCTCAGGGACTGCCATCCACCACAGCAAGGGTTTGTCCCTGCATGCCTCTAGCCATAATTTTCACCACCTGTGCAATCTAATCAGTGCTTCACAGTTAAAAGCAGATGAGGGAATTGACAAAGGTATTGAGTGTGGCTCTTTAGTCCTTCCCACGTGCAGTTCCCTGTGCTGGAGGTACAGCACAGGCAATTATCCTTTTTTGATAATACCTTCATTTTATTTAACTTCTTTTATTCTCTTATTTTTCTACCTCTATGTTTGAATGCAAAAATAGAGGGTCAACTTATTCTCTGGGGAAACTCAGCTGGGCTAACTCTGATTATTGCAGTCCACATGTAGTAACCCATATCCTCTCATTTCAATTTGTATCTAAGTTTGATTCTTCTAGTCCCTATTATAGAAATATCACTAGACCTATGGGTTACTGGTACTTTTTTTTTCTTTCTCTTCCCAGACTATCCCTGACTTCAGCAGGAACAGCAGGAGCACACTAATAGGCCAAACTTGTTTTTTGTTGGCCCCCTGAAGAGGATGAATTTCACTGAAATGTAGTTCAGTTCTAAAAACTTACACTGAATCTATGCTCATTGATTTCCTCTTTAGAACCTCCAGTGATCACAGCCCTGAGGTGCATTGGAGAAAATACTACAAAACAGAGAAAAATCAAAGGCAGAGCAGGACTTGCTGCACCTGGGATTTTCAGGAGAACAGCTGGCCTTCACAGAGTTGTTTTTCTCATCCTTAATCTGGGCAGCGCCAGGGCAGGTTTAGCCTTTCATGAAAGCAAGTGCAATACTGCTAAAATGTATCTCCTAGGGAGCTGTTACAATATCCCATGGTTTACTGAGGGCTGTGCATGCCTTTCTGTCCTCTGCTTGTAGAAGAAGAGGAAAAAAACATTTGGGGACGTGTAGGGATGCTGACACTAACTTCCTTGGTGCTGATTCTCTAAACCTTATATTTCTCAGGTTATTCACACCGTCTTATTTATTTACTTATGTTACAACCGAAAAGATCAGGCATCTCATCTCAGTCAATTCTACCTCCTCTGATCCTCAACAGCAGTTGAGACAAATGATAAAAGTTTTTCAACAATAGAAAATCATGAGACTTCCAGGTAAAATGTCAGAAACAAAAGGAAACAAAGCATAATCCAAATCTACTGCAAGATTAACAATTTGATACATTAGTTTCTTCAACTTTCTTGGTCTTTTTGCTGTATCCATGTTAAAAAGGTCAGAGTTTCAGACTACTGTTTTTTTCTTCTGTAGTTGTTGTAGATTTCCTTAAGCCTTTTATAATGGGCTCTTCAGCAGAGTCTGTTGTGATAGGACAAAGGGAAATTATTTAAAACTAGAAGATGGGAGATTTAGACTAGATATAAGAAAAAAAGTTTTTTTACAGTGAGGATGGTGAGGTATTGGAAAATGTTACCCAGAGTAGTGGTGTATGCCCTGTCCCTGGAGACATTCAAGGTCAGGCTGGATAGCTTATATCTGAGCAGCTCAATATAACTGTAGGTGTCCTTGTTTATTGTAAGATAATAGAACTAGATGACTATATGGGAACTGTTGATCATGGACTGAACCTCTGATTGACCACCTGAGGCAAGCAATGAATCAGCTGCAGGAGCACAGGTGAAGGCAATTCACCTGTGCTACTGGAGGGGGTGGAGCCTGGCTCCACCTCTCCTAGATCCCATTTAAGTGCTGACTGCCACTGAGGAAGGATCTCTTTCTGGAGATTGCTTCCTATGGAGTTTATTGTGAGTCTACAACGGTGGGTATTTTTCATTTATTTTCTTTTCACTGTGATGATCCTACTTAGCCTAACCTCTGTACACATATTGATCGTACAATGACTGTTAAGGCTCCCTTCCATGATTCCTTGTGCTATACGGCTCCTTCCATTCTATGGTTCCATGAGCTATGTCTGAAGCATTACTATGTGTTCTATCAAGCTGATAGTCTCCAGCAAGTCCTTAAGCACTGTAGAATCCATGCAGAAGAAATTTGGAAGTCTTTTTAGTAAAGATGATAAAATGTCTGACAAGGTGCTCCTGAAACAAGTTCTTCCCATCCAATTTTGGCATTAGTAGCTGGGACAATCAATCTGCAAGCCTTCTGAGAAGAAATATCTTAGGTAAATATCACCAGAAAATTAACAACACAGCCTTATTAATTCATCACTGTGAAAAGTTAAGACAGATGCACAGTTTTCCTGCCACTATGCTCACAAATGCATACAAGGGCAAACTCTTCAGCTGGCCAAGTTCATGAAAGTATAGTAATATCATTTAAATCATGAAAGAGAGAGAAAAGAAATCAACTTCAGAGAGAGCTTCCCAGGGTAAGATCAACAGCAGCAGTTGGAAATGTGCTGAATGCAAAGAACAGAGAGATGGAAAAGCACTATTCAGTATACGCATAACTTGAATCTGAACTGCATTGCTTCCTACAGTTACCAAAAATGGGCCAGACAGTCTGTCAAGCATCTCATCTGATCATGCTATTGCCAAGTGTAAGGTGGTAGATAACATCCTCATGATGATAGCTATACATTTCATCTCTGGTAGATGACTATTTCTAGTAGATTACCCAAATACTGTAATCTTCTTCATGTTTCACAGCTATTAATTTTTTGTTGTTTCTCCATTAAAATAGAAATAATAAGGTAGTTTTAGAAGTAAAAAGTAGTAGTTTGTTAATCAAGAATGGCATTCCTCTGCATAAGAATGTAGCTTGCTATAAAGATGTCTTATGTATATTGCTAGTTCGTGTTCCTTTTCATTTACTTCAGTAACTGAAAGTAGTTTTGCCATCTGTTCTTCCTTTCACTTGCTCAGTAAGTTCGTGACATGAAAACTTTAATTCATGTGGGATCCAGCAATCTTATTTGTAGAACATATCACCTACAAGTTGCTTGATTTCAGCTGTATGAAAAATGAGAGATATCAAAACATAATATTATCTTGCATAGTGAAAAAGAGTTATCTTTGTATTTTTGTGTTGCATATTCAAATTTTAGGGTTCCATTTTTTTTTCTCCTCCATTTTAATCTTTTACTTCTCAAATTTTTATGAAGTCTTTCCTTTATGGCACACCACATGCCAGTGACTAAAATCTTGCCCAAGCCAGCAGTCCTCCCTCTACATGCACTTACACTTGCCTACACCCTGCTTTGCCCAAACGTGAAAGACTCTGAAAAGTGGCAGACGCTTTCATCTCAAATATGAGGAAATCCAGCTCAGTTTCTGCTTCACCATGAATTTTTTTTTCCCCCTAAATGAACACTAAGTGACAAAAGATGATACAAAAGCTCACAAACCAGAATGGAAATTCATTCCTGAATACTGCACAGCTTAGTGCAGAGCACCAGCTAGCGTATTTAAGTATGAACTGCACTTGTGAATGACAAATCTAGTAACCTGACAAGTAAGAAAGGTTCAGATACTGCTTGCCTTTTGAAGTGAGGTTCATCACAGTCGACAGTGAATATCTGTAACACAGCCTGAGTCGTGCAGAACCAGACAGGAGCAGTCCAAATGCATTAAAGTTTTAATGAACTCATAAGGTGTTTCTTCCTGCAGCCCTAGTAAATATGCATCCATAAGATGGGGGAGCTGAAACTGCTCCTTCTCACAAATACTAGGCAGTGAACATGAAAAGGAACACCCTGTGCCCAAAGTGCTACCATTTTTTCCCAGCACAAAAGAAGTCAATAAATATTTAAATAAATAAATAAATTCAGCTGTAGGAGCTCCAAGAAAACTTAGCTTAAGGCTGGGACTGGTAATAGAAGCCAGCTCCTATGATACTGTTATTTGAGTTCAGAAAAAAAAATAAATCAATTTCTCTGTAGCTAATAAGTGTTGACATTACTATCTTCCTGATAGCTGCCACTAATTGTGTTAGCAAACCAGCTTCTCGTTAATCATTTGTAGGAAGACCATGATTCAGCTGGGTGGGTGAATTTTCTTTTTTGTGAAAGCAGCCAGCTGTGGTCTGAGTCATGGCCACAACTTGTTAAGAAAATACTAAGAAATGTTATGTGGTACATGTGAAAAGAGGGAAAGAGACCATCTAAAACACAAAGTGATTCAAGCACCTGTGATGCCCAGGAAGCAAGCGTATGAGGATGGTAAGGTCTGGAAAACAGAATCTGTGTGAAAAGCCAAAAGAAGGGCAGGATGTACAGAACACAGGTGTTAATAAGATAGTCAATAATTAATAAGCTGTCAGAAAGGTCATTCTACCTTCGAACACAGCTTGTAACAGAAATGTTTTATTCTGTCTATGCCAGTGTTAGATTATTTTCTGTAGCCACAGAAAGTAATTCTCCCGCTAATAAATGAATTGTTGCTGCAAATAAAGCTTTCATATCCACTACAAATCAGGTAAGAAGTACAGAAATAAAGAATAAATTAAAGGAAATTCAGATTAGAACTGTAAAAGTAGTTTCTATCTGTGAGGACAGGAAGAAGCCAGAACAGATAATCCACATGGGTAGAGTATCCACAATCAAATATTAAAGATTATAATCCATACATTAATCAAATGTTTTTGTAAAATAGTTAATCCTGTCTTGAAAAAAAAAGAAGATAGGATAGTGAAAGCTTGAGACTCAAATAGACATCGTTTTGTATAGTTCATAAGATGTTCTTTGATCAGGCAAGCAAAATAGATCCAGAAATATCTTCAAGGAAATTAATAAATTGACAAGGAAAAAAAAAATGGCATTGTCTGTGTCTTTCAATGAATCCTGAGTTTGAAAAGCAGAGTGGACAGCTGTTTGCTAGCAGGTTAAATTTTCAAACAAGCCACCTACTTAGAAACAAGATTGCCCTCTGCTGGAAATTCATGTTGGAAATCTAAATATAATGTAAATTACTCTAATTCTAATTAAATAGGATTAAAAACAAACAAATAATAATAATAATAAAAACCTAACTAAATAAAAAGCTAGATGAAGGATAATAGAAGAGCTTGTAGTACCTGGAAACTCAGACTGAGTTGTGCTGCCATAAGCACTTTAGAACTGGTGTTTTCAGAGGCATTGAAAGTCATGTACAGTAAAGCACAGCATAAATAAGTATTTGGAAAGTTAAGTGAAGTATAGCTTGTTCTGATTTGCATTTCTTTGCAAATATCTGTGCTGATGGTGAAATGTGATGATAAGTCAGTTCCTGTTTCTTGATGTCTAGTGGTGTCCAGAGTGAACTTTCTCTGTAAGAGTGTTTGTTTTTTTTGTTTGTTTGTTTGTTTTTAGTATCATTCACTGTGATAAAAATTCAGAACAGCTGAACCATATAAACCAACTCAGATGTAATAATGTTGCTTTGATATTACTGGCAGTTTGATTTTTTTACTGGAATGATAAATAAAGAGTAATTGTAATAATCAGAAGGAAACATCTAAGATAGAGATGTCACCATGTTTAATTTCAGGCCTTTGGCATAACTGTGCAAAACCAAGCACAGATTCCTCTGTGCAGACAGAGATAGAAACTTTGTTACTGCATGGTTTCGTTGTAATTCCTGATGCATTACAAAGAGAGTAATGTAATTGTGATCTGTTTTGCATGTGCAGCACAGTCCTCTGGCAAGAAATTCTTATCAACCTCGAAAAAACAGAGCACAGCCCTAAGCTAAATATCCTCTGCATGGATCTAAATCAAACAATAAAAAACAATTTGCCACAGTGCAATATGGC